TGGCAGCAAGTAGAGCTCGTGTACAGAGTCTCGTGGAGCAGTTGGACGATGGGGTGAAGAAAGCCGAAAAACAGCTTACGTACAATAACATTAAGCTCCAGTTTCTGACTGGTTTGCCTTCAGGTGTTTGGACCGCTCTGTGGGACTTCTTTGAGCCTAGCCAAGAAAATGTACTGCGCCGAGCCAGATCTGCGAAGACGGAAGCTGAGGGACGGCGGATACAGTTGGAGGTGGCCGTAAATCGCCAATGAGCATGTAATGGAGGATCAGCTGCTATTGGCATTGATGTGCCTAAGCCTGGGCCGAATGGAACAGAAGCTGTCATGCGTGGCACAAGTTAATCATCCGTTTCACGGTATATACTATAATATTATAGCTAGCTTAGCTGGGAAGATGTCTTGTTCCTCCGTTTGGGCATGATCCCCATTTGGGCGAGCTGGCAAGATGTTCAGTCATCAATGCCATGTACCGCAAGACATTCTGCATTGTGGATGAAACAGTTCTATTTTGCCATGCACTTAGGGTTCTCGCACCGGCACAACAAGACCCAACAGATCCTTGCGCTCTTATTTTCTCCCATGGTAACATTGCTGATCACAACACCCGGTAGCCAGTCGCAGATGCAACCAAATCAACCAGGTTCTCTTACTCTCTTTTCCAATACTGAAACCAAAGGTATACCAATATTTGCATCGAATGCAGTGATGATTTCAATACTGTCCACTAGTACAACGCATTACCAGACTGGCATATAATCATGATAATATTATCCATTTCGCAATCACTGTCATTGCTTTCTTAGATCTTCAATCATCAATATCGGACCATAAACCGTCTACCATCTTATATTATATCATCATTAGTATCCTGCTACTATCCTCCTCTAACGTTGAGCTCGAAGAAAAGAAACAGCGGTCTAGAGGCGTAAACAATATCTGTCAACGGAAGTGTCCTTGCTGTGCTGGTGTGTTTATGCTTCGTGCATTAGTTCGGCCAAGGGCGCATGGTGGTGGCGGGTTGATGTTAAATCTACTAGAAAATAGTTCACTCTGAACATGCAGGGGGTATATTCATAGGTTCGAAAGAACCGCACACGCGCTTTGCTGCAGACAGCCGCAAGCTTTGGCCCTCGTGCTTCGAAGAGGGAGCAATCCACTGCGCTACGCTTGCGATTAACAGCAAACTTCGACTTTTCAAAGGTACGACTCATCATTGGCTCTGGGGTAATGTTCCTGGAACAAATGCCCCATAGCCAACCGAGGGCCAGGGAGCACGCAATCTGCCTTCCTGGGCAAGAAGTGTTCCAGCACAAGAAGCAGCACGAATACATGCTGACAAAGACCACCAGCCGGCACACAGCACACTGTTCTTCAAACACCATCCACTCCGTCCATGTGTTTGCACTGTCCTCCTCTAGCTCTTCACGCTCAACAAATACCACGCACTGCTCATCGTTTTTTTATGCTTCCTCTGGGTTGGCTAGCCCTTCGACTTGACAAAACAGCGATCACCACTGCACTGCTATCGTCACCTCATAGCGGTCGCTTCCACCAGTGGCTTTTCTTGTCTTTGCAAGGTGTCCAAGGATGGCTGCTGTTGTCACTACAGGCAAATCAGAAGTACTTTAGTGGCTGATGTCCAACCAGATCGTTGGAAAATCGATTTTTCCACTTCAGGGCTGCTGATCGCGACTTGGTGACTTGGCAGCACCACGGTTACCTTCATAGAAGATGGCTCTGGAGAGGAAAAGACAGACCAGAAAAAGGTTACTATTATCTTCAGCACCGATCGCAGGGAGAAAGAAATATGGTCTGCTGTAGCCTAGGCACAAAATAAATCTCACAACACGATTCGCGATTCGAATATTTCAACAACAAAAAAACTCACCTCTGGAGTAACTCCTGTTTGTGGCCCGAGATCGTTCCCTCCCGCGCCTTGAAAAAATCCTGCAGCGGCATCACAGTCCATGTCTCTCTCGGAGACTCTGCTCCTACCAGCAGGAGGTTTAGCACCGCTCGAAGCCATCGCAAACTACTTGAACTAAGCAGAAGACATTCCAAAACAAACCTGAAACACACTGTCAAAGATGCTGTCACGTTCAAAAACTAGCTCGATCGCGAGTGAGGTTGCCCCCGTGCTCGAACCCAGTATAATAAGGGGATCGGTCTATTGGATCTCTTGTGCTTGTATTTGAAGCAGTTCCTTGCTTTATACTGCCCCCCCCCTTTTTTCTCTTTTTTTAACTGCAGTACTTTATGTGTATGTCTTAGACTGTATGTAGTGGTGCTACCACCACAGTGCATGTAGGTTAGTTGTCATCTTTTATCAGCAATCAATGCTTTATTCGTGCTGGTATTCCTGCGTATGTCCTAATCTGGCTTCCACAATACCGTACCTTTCACGGCTTTGCTGATACTATTTTTGTGTGCGGCTGCTTCACTTGTTTGCTGTGTTCTCGCAGCAACTTGACCCAATGGACACTCGAGACCGTCGCATTACTGCTCGCCAGAACGAATATCAAAATCGCCGACTAGCGGGAATCATTTCTCCAGCACGTGTGGATCCGTTCGGTACGTTCTTTCACCACTGTCCAATGTGCAGTTTTTTGTGAATATTGATTTGATGTGCTCTCCAAGTACAATTGATCGATCATGCAGCTATTTTGCTGTGGTTGACAGTTGTGGCTGGAAGCTACATCACTATGGTGGTCCTGTATCGCTCTGTTCTCTTCTTTGTTTGTATTCGCCGCCATTGCCAGATCAGATGCTGTGGGGTACGTTGGATATAGCCTTATCAAAACGGAGCCGTTCTTGCTATTGAGCTACGGTGACCCTAAGCAAGCTTTGGAATAGTTTGTGGCCGTGTCCTCGCTCTTCCCAGCATCTGATCGTGGCTTGTGGTGTGTTCAGTTACAGTAAAAGGAAGAAAAACGAATTTGTGATTCATGAACTAACACTGTTTGCTCTCGCCCTCTCTGTTGCACCGTCGCCATCTCTCCACGCCAATAACGCACCGGTGGTGGGTGAGTATTGGGAAAGCCAACATCGCCTGCAGATGCCACGTCGTCCATTCAACCAGCTGAAGGATAAACATCTAACATATTTCCCGTTGATCCGTGGGCCTTTCTTTGCGTAAATTCCCTAAATTGCTGTCGTCCCTGGTGTCTTTCTCCTGGCTCTATTCATTTTGAAATCACATCGTACAAACAGCAGTCTACATTTTAGAGTTCTGGCTTGATGAACTTGTTGAGATGATGTCTCCTTTGTGGTATGGTAACATTGTGGGTTATATCTCGGTGCCCCCTCCCCTCTCCAAAGGCACTGTCCCACCGTCGTTGTGGGGCAGTGCCGCTATCCGTCGATTTCAGCTGTTTTCGCGTTGTATGTTTTATCTTCACAGATGCGATGACCGTATGCTGATGCAAGGCCTCTGAGTGCCATGTGTGAATGAATTTCATAGGCATGTTGACGTTTTTTTAACTTGTTTGCAAGTAACCACATTGTCCGTCGTGTTGTAAGAACGTAGAGATGTCTGACCTACTGCCTCGTGCTCAACACGATCCTCACCTATTGTGTGCGATCATGTTGACGCTCACGTGATGCCGTGTGTGTACTGTGCCAATGCGATCATTCAAGCACACAGTTTTGTAATGATGCCGTGCGCGTCTGTGTGCTTATTAAAG